AACCTCAATTAAAATAGAATGACTTTGAAGAAATGCTGGAGACTTTCTTTTGAATTTTTATTTTGCACTGAATTATTTTTACTGCTATTTTTACATGAAATGCTGCTTTTATAGTGTAGAGTCTAGACAAATTGCTTTTTTGTCAATATGCCATTACATACTAAATTCAGAAATTCTAGCTGGTGGGGAACTACTATCTATATACATCAGGATCTCTGCCAGTTACCCAGCTACTGTTGCTCAATTAAACAGAACTGGGGAAAATCACACCAGTAAGGTCCCTTATGCTCAACCAATCTTGCCTGATGTATTTAAGGACCTGAAAAATAGTTATAACTCCTGCTGATGCAGAGCTGTTCAGGTTAATTTAAAATAATGTGCAAACACAAAAAGTCTCACGATACTGGGTCACTGAAATGTAAAATGCTAGAAGAAATTATATGTTAATGAACATAAAGTAGTGCACGTGAGGAGGGGAAGGGAACCGAAGAACAATCTCTTTCATCATACACATAGAACAGCGAACTCTAAATTGTGCATTATAACTCATGGAAAAGATTCTGAAGTCAAAATAAGTAGATTTTCTGGAAGGTAAAAATGAAACAGCTCTCTGGAAAATACTTATGTAAAAGAGAAATTTAATTTTGGGAATTCTTGGAAAATAGGGACAGTACAGAACATGTAATTCAAATGTATAAATCCATAATTTACCTGAATCTTGGATGTTGTGTGCTGTTCTTGCCATCACATCTTGGGACATAGGAAAACTGGAAAAGGCTTTTTGAAAAGGTGGGGAGAGTAAACAGTTAAACAGAGGAGTGGAATCACTTCTGTATGGTGACAGACTAGGTAGACTGAGTTTCTCTACCGTGGAAATCAGATAACCGAGAGAAGATAGGGTAGAGGAAATAAAATAATGAATTACACGAAGAGGGTGAATGCAGAACTGTCATTTCAGTATCTCTTAGCATACAAGAACTAAAGAGCTTGTGTTAATATCTCCAGGCAGCAAGTTTAAAACAAACAATAAGAAACACTTTTTCATACAAAAAATAATCAAACAATGTGAGACACTGCCACTAGATGTTGTAAAGGCCAAAAGTTTAACTGAGTTCAAAAAGGGATTAATGGCTACTTTTGTTTCATGAATTCTAAAAACATCCCGCTTAGACACAACTTCTGGCTTAGGAAGTTCCTAAACCACTAATTGCCCGAAGATGGGAAGGAGGAGTTGCTCAGCTTTTGCCATGCCTCTTATAATCTTTCCTTATGCATCTCCTAATGGCCATGTTGGGAGCAAGATAATGGGCTAGACAGATTTTCTTGGTCTGACCCATAATGGCTGTTTTTATTTTGTAGGTGTAGATTTTATTTTTTTTTTTTCAGTAATGGGGAGACAAAATGGAAATTTTCAACTTGTTTTTGGAGTTCAGTAAATGCTGTCTGGAATAGGATTCTTAATAGCTAATTAGGAATGATCATACTTTTTGCTTTCCTTATTTTAATATATAAAAAATTAGTCTACAAATTTATCTGCTGAATGCTTAGAAAGATTTTCTTTAAATACAGGGAGTGTGGATGAAGGTGAATCATTTATGTATTTCACTTGAGTAATCATGATATGTGTATTTTAAAGAATAATGTGTCAGAAAAGCTGACATAGTGAGCAGGGGGAGTTTTCTGTGGTTATTCTTAAGGAGGTGAATGGTATTATTTTTGCCATTGTTGTGAGTTAAGGAATACTAAGTTTCAATTGCAGAACATCCTAAATTCTACAGTTGTACTTCTGACAATAGGAACAGAGGCCAACAAGGAGAGTTTCTTTAACATCTGTACCTTTTTTGTACAACTCTATCATCCTTTTTTCTTCTCAGAGTGAAGATTGGCTTTTGGGATTAAAGGAAATATGAATGATTTTTTGTTTTTTTCTGACTAACCTTCTATTTTAGTTTTTTTCCATGTGAATTCATAATGTAGGAGTTTATTTGTACTTACTAAACAGAGATTTAATAAATTACCATAGTGCACTTTAAAAATGAAAAATATATTACTCTGTGTCAAATGAGTTTATCCTGTACTGCATGCGAACTATGCACATCGTTATAAATCGTGGTCTCAAACTTATAAAGTTGTTGGTTTTGTTTATTAGGAAACCTTGCTTCAGATCCAAAAAGGCAATAAGGAGACTACACATAGCAAGAAGAAAGTGAGCCACAATTGATCATGAAATGCAATTACACAATATTCAAAGCTGAGAGAAATAAAGACCTTAAATTGCAGTAGCCTGTAAAGTTTAAAATTAAAAGTAGTTTCATTGTATATGGTGAAAAGGGGGATTGGATCAATGAAACTGATCTCTTGTATCTTGTTTGCTGTTGGTTTATATGAAATCATACCTGAGGTGAGCCTCCTTTTCATATGTATGTTAATAAATTTTGGTCATTTGTGGAATATTACTTGAGCAGTCTGGAAGGACATTTCTTGAGTTCAGCTGGTGCTCAGTGGATAAATGGAAGCACAAGAACTAAAAAGGCCTTCTGCCTGGTCATCCTTAGCTTGGCTAATATAATTGAAGATTTTGTTCTAACAGTAAATCTTTATATAACAGCAAAGAGGATTACTGCTGTGATGCTGGGTTGCAATAAATCAGTATCTGGATTAAAAGAATGGGAGCTATAATACAAACTTTCTTTTTGTCCTTTCTGGTATAGCATCTTATAAAACTTCAGCATGTATCCAAAGGTTGACAACGATCTGCTACACTGTCAAACTAGCTGTAGGATACCCGTAGAAGTTTGGAAAAGATAATTAAGCCCCGTCTTCTTGCTTTTACCTGATTTCATTTCTTCTTTACCTTTCATCTTTACTTACTTGGAATCCTTTAGTATCAATCCATCTTTCACTTGAGGAAGAGATACTGAAGTATTTTGTGTTAAGAAGACTTGCCAAAAATTAAGACTGAGTCTTCAGCTGATAAAAACTGTCAGAAAAATTATTTTATTCATTGCAGTTCAGCAATCTGAAAGTCTTGCAAAGTAAAGTGGCCCTTTTGGAAGTGTGTTGTATAGGAGAATATTACATTTGTTGGTCATGCTTGTGTTTATAAATTCTGGAGAAACTGTTTTAGACACATAAAAATCAAAATCTCCTATGCCATGGAGACTTGCAGAGATTCTTTGAACTCTTGGCCTCCTGCTTTTCTTTATTACCAGTGAATGATATTGTGTTGAGAGGGGATATAATGGGCCTAGTGAGGGACAGATACTGATAAAGTCAGTCTTTACCATTGCAACCATGGTTAGTTTCAGCAACCATCATTGAGAATCTTTTAAGCTTTTGCATAAAGATAAGGAAAATTTAAGTAATTTGAAAATACATTAGGGCTTTCTTTTTAACAATAACTCTTGTCTTTTCCCCTTTGCTCTGTATAACTGTCCCTTAGATTTTTATATATATATTTATATACATACTTATTATATATCTACTATTAATAGTAAAAATGTTTTTTATATATATTTATGTATATATTTACCAGAGGAAGTGGTCTCTTGTGAGGACTGGGGAGGGGAAATGTAAACTGAAATAATCTGGGACCTACTGTTAAATCTGAAAAGAATTTTGGACAGATGATTTCTGGAGATGGACAGTGTCTGTTCTGTCCTTGGCTTGGAAGCAAGGGTCAGATGGGGCCCCTTGGCAGAGGTGATGCTCCTTCCTTGGGGAGCTCCCCCCTGCAAAGGGAAACAGAGGTCCAGCCTTAGGTGTGGTAGGCAAGAGTCAAAATACAAAGCTGGGAGCCTGCATTTTGTGCAGACAGTCTGAGAGACTGCAGGAGGCAGCAATGGGCCAGGCAGGCCTCGGAGAGAGGGAGCAAATTTCCAGGGTGTCAAAGGGATCAGGGTGCTGCCACTAAGGAATTCCCTGAGCTAAATGAAACAAAAGCAGAAATCATAGCCTGTTTGCAAAGACAAAGTAGGTGAGGATGAATGCAGTTGTGCAAACTTTGCTCTGTCTGACCTAGGGTCTTATACCTGACCTTTATATACTGTTAGATAGAACGTTAATAACACTCGTTATGTCTAATAAAACCTGGTTCTGTATGTGTGTATGTTGGGGTGAGGATTAAGGGTTTTTTTTTAGGATGCGGGCACCTCACTATAAGAAAAAATTCTAGGCAACTCTACCTCAAGGCTCTGGGGAACTCAGGATCCCTTACAAAGATGAGCTCAGAACAGCTCAGTACAGCTGCTGTCTTGGGTACCACATATTACTAGCTGGAGGGTGAAAGGGCATAAAATGCAAGCTCATTGCCCTTGTGTCAGGGTGTACTCACCAAGGAGTTGCTTTCAGCCTCACTGGTTCACAGCATATTTGCTGTAGTGCAAAAACAAGCTTTGCAAGTCAGATGTGCATGTTGTACAGAGAGCAGTAAGAAATAAGGGGGAAGGTAAAGGATGGGTCAGAAAGTAGAATCCAGCTGAGGTTTAAGGGATTATGATACGGCAGAAACAGATATTGCTGACAGTATCATTTGCTGTCTTAGTTTGGCTGTGCCAGAGTGGGTGGAAGGGCTTTGGAGAGATGCTACAAGGTAAAACTTTTTCTGTTAAGTGTCTAACAGGCAAAGTGTCTAGAAAAAGCTGACAGTACAGTCCCATAAACAACAAGCAAACACACCCATAACTTTGTTCCTTTGTCATATTAAACTCTGAATGTACAAGAAACATTTCCCAGCAAAAGTGTAGTCTAAATTTTTTCTGTTTACTTGTCTCTAATCTCTGCTGATTTTTAACAAATAATTTTATAGCAGGGTATGTGGTGTAAAGGTGATTAGAAACCCAAAACCAGTGTTTGCAAATGAAAGCTAAGCATGCCGCTGTGTTACTGCAAGCAAATTGTTTGATTGACAAAAGGCAGCTAATTGAGCAATTGCAACCTGGTGGTTATTCTAAGGTGGTTTTGCTTCACCTCATTCTTCCTTGTCTTTTTCTGCCTTCTAGCATGCACTTGATTCAGGTGGACTCTGTTCAGCGATGGATGGAAGATTTGAAGTTGATGACAGACTGTGAATGTATGTGTATTCTCCAGTCCAAGCCAATCAGCATTGAGAAGGATGAACAAAATGAACTTATCCTTTCCTCACAATATAGCACATGTGATAACTTACAGCTACTATTAAAAAGAGCTTGGATCATAAGCACAGAGTTGACCAGGACTGCTCAAAAGCTGGAGAAGAATAGATGGCAGCGAGTCCACAGCATGACTGTAAGAGTCAACTGCCATGTACGGTCAATGATAAATGAATACAGTACGTTCACCAGGGATTCTTCAGAAGAAATGCACCAGGTAGGATGCCTTACCTGATGTAATGTTTGTCGTGTTTAACCTTTTTATTGTAATAATTAAAACTTACTTCAAACAATCTGTAAGAAATCCTTACATACTGATACTGGTCCCTTGTTTAAGAGTTTCTAATCCCTTTTCAGCTATGGAAACATTCTTGACTCATTTGGGATCCTATTTTGTCATAGGCCTGATTCTGAATGACAATAATGTTGACAAATTATGTTGGAAAAAGTTTTGGTTTTGAGGACTACTGGACTGAAGTAACTAGGTGCCCCATCTGTGAGTTCCTTTGCATTTACAACATAGAACATACTACTTTTTTGTTAACTTCAGGTTTATCTCTACTCGTTTTCTGCATAAAAGTAGAAGAAGGGTGTCAATATGAAATATTATGTTTCTGGAGGTTTTTCACCTAATTATCATAAACAAGCATTATTTATTTTTAAAAAGCAATTGTGTGTATGGATATTGCTTTAAAACTACTTTCTCTTTCTTTCTCTGCAGTTTGAAAAACTTTTAATAGACAAGTGTTCAGAATTTACAGCATTCACAGAAAGGTAATTTAAATTTTCTAGTTGAAATATTCATTTTGCTGTTTTATTATGTTGTAGAATTTCTAATGAGAAGTACAAATCTACTAACACCCTCAAATGTTTGAACTAGGCCCCCACAGCTCTGAAAGGCTTTCAAAATGTTAGCCTCTGGTGGGTGAAGTGAGTTGCTTTTATCTAAACTGCATCCTAATGAAAGATGGTATCTGTGGTTGCACAAAGAGCCTGGCATAGACACAAAGCTGCATCTAAGTGGATTTTTCAGCGCTTTTAGACATCAAGGGAGAATGTCTGGCTCTAATGATATCAGTGACAAAGTTCCCTTCAAGTTCTGTGGAGCCAAGATTTCAGCTGGTGTGAAAACTTACATTGTAAGACTGTCGTACAACATGTTGCTGTATGCACATATCCATGTATTAGTAAATCAAACCCAAATAAATACACATTTCTTTAAATTGCAGTTGTAGGCTTACTCAGCTCCGTGCACTCCAGAATGCTGAGACTGGAAAATAAGAATCTCTTTATAATTCTTCTCGTGATATTTCCCCTGCCTAACGTAAGTTATCCTGTTTCCTCCAGCACAGTTCAGTCGTCTTCGATTTACTTTAAACACTGTGCAAGTCATTCTGCTGGGGGGATCATCAGGGAAAAAGACACCGTCTAATTATCAGGAAAGAATGTTTCTTGAGCACTATTGTTTTTTGCCAAACCCACACAGCTCAGACTTTACTTTTATATTCTGCTATGAGACGCGGTGATTTAATGAGAGCTCTGATCTCATACTGTCTGCCCCAAATCAGTCCTCTCCCTCCTTGTCTGTTTGACAAAAAGTTGATATAGGTGGGTGAAAGACAGGTAAAGCTGAAAAGGGGACCTACTGTGTAGGTGGAGACACTGAGCAACCAAACTACATCTTCCGTTACAGTGGCCTGCCTGGGTGGAAGATGTTTTGACAATTCAAATTAAATGCATTTCTGTGAGGAAGTATTATTTATTTAATTTGAATTGTATAAAGTTTTCCATCTTTATCTCATTTCTTCAGTTATAGCCAAATATCACTGGTTACAGGATAATTATACTAACTCTGTAAAGCTGGTGTATGTAATCTTTCTCTATAGAAGGCCAAACTTTACTTTTGAGTACGCTGTCTATATTTAAATGAACTTTATTAATCTGGGCACACATTCATTTTTGGTCCTTATCCTGCTATCACTAAACTATGGCAAAGAAGGTAAAGAAATGAAAATTATTGAAAGCACTTCTTTGGTCATGAAATATGGATGGGTATACACAGATGCAGTTGAAATGCAGGCACCCTAGAGTGACTGTAACTGTAAGCATAAATGGAAAATAGCAGAGTTACACTGGTATAAACATAGCATCTGCAGCAAAATTTCGCCTTCATTCTGTGAAGTAAATTGTGATCCCAAAATTATTCATTGATGTCCAAAGTTGTCCTTTGATGGTATACTTACTATGTGTAGACAAAGCTTTGATTAAAGTCTGGCGTGATGCTAATGGCACAAAGACAGTGTCCTCATGTGAACAGTTGAAATCCCATTATAGTCCCATTATTAACACAGAGCTCACCCGTGACAATCAGCTTGATAAAACAATAGTTGTCTGTTGCATCTTTTTTCCTTCATCCCTTTCTCTTTGTTTTCAGGTGCATCCAAACTGAAGATGAACAGATACTGCAGTCCATGAAATCTTGTATTAATGAAACACTCACTACCATTGCTCAGTATTTTGGCCAGTTGATAGAGCTGGTTTTAACACATGAGGCACAGGTTAGTTTATAGTTTAAAAAAAACCCAAACCAACAGTCTTTCAAAATTGTTGAATCTTGAAGGAAAGCATCCGTTAAGAGAAGGATTATAATTACGGCTCTCAATTTTCAGCAAACTTCTTATTAGTAATTCAAATATCTTGCAAAGAAATTTAGGTGTTTGTATTCTCAAATTCTCCAATAACCTCAAATCCCAAACACAATGATCTTGTGGCTCAATATGTTACTTACTTTTCCTGGTAGGCCTCCTTCATTGCAAGGCATCTAATTTCTGGACAATATCTTGTTAATAACCTTTGGACACATTTTCTCTTCCTTTCACGTAGACACTGCTTTTCTTTAGAAATCTTGAAAAAAGTCCCTCCCGCTCTCAATGATTCTCATTAAACGTTGAACATTTTAGAAGATGTACATATAACAAGTATATTATTACAGCACACATTTTAACTGATCCGTGTCTCACACTCTAGGAAGTAGTGATAAAATACAGTGTTGTCTACAGGTTATACGTGTGTGTGTAACTTTCCAGAAACAGTGCTGTATCATTGCAGGCATGATGTATTGTTTCCAGTGGTGATTAAATGTAGATAAATACACTGAGTAATTAGGCTGAGACTACAAATGTATTAATTTTTTTCCATTAGACCATTCTTGAAATAGTAGCAACTTGCAAGTCTAACCAATCCATCTTGGCTTACACTGGTTTCCTTCTTGAGATCTCATTAGTAATCCCTTTGCACGCTCTAATCTTCCTCAAATAAAAAACCCCAAATGTAATTACACTCAATTAATTTGTCCGTGTTTTAGAGGTGATGTTATGCTGAAATTTTACGTTGTCCCTATAGAAAATGAAGAAATGAGAGGCTTAGTGAAGAGTAAATAGTATTTACTACAGTGCTAAAACAAAATTAATGAATGGTATTGGTTAAATTCTAACATACCTTGAGGCATTAAGATAGAAAAAAAAAAAAAAGTTGTGGCTTTTTCAGAAACATCCCTTATAATTTTAAAAGATTATTGCTAGGAAGTGAGAATCTCCAGAATACATTTGCAGAATTACAGTCAAACTAACAAGCTAGTTGCTAATGTGCTTTGGTTAGGATTTATGAGAACTAAATGAAATGCCACATATGAGTTGAAGTGTGTAAATGAATTTGCATATTGCAAATTCGGTGAGTAGGTTGTGGTTGTTTTGATGCTTATTCTTTTTGATCGGAA